TTGATGTACTCAATAATTTGTTACTTTTTACATCTTTTATGGTGAGGGTCTATGTGTGGCAGTCTCTAAGTCTTTGTAAGTCTGATACTGTGTTTTTGTGCCCTCATTCTGAAGTAATAGTTTAAGCAGATGAAAAATTTTAAGTTAACACCCTTTTTTCTCAACATTTTGAAGATATTGTTCTTTTGTTTTCTGGTTTCTATTGCTTTAGATGAGATATCTCTGTCAATCTGTTTTTATTCCTTTGTACGTATCATCTTTTCTATAGTAGATTTTAAGATGGCATTTTTATTTTTGATATTTTACAGATTAACATGGGTTTTGATGTGGGCTTACTTTTGTTTTCTTGTTATTTGGAATACGTTCTCTATGTCTTGGTTTCTTCAATTCTAGGAAATTCCCAGCAAATATCTCTTCAAATATTCCTTCTCTTCTATTCCCTCTTTTTTATTCTTCTGGGGCTTTTGTTCGATGAATGTGAGAGTCTCTCAATTTGTCTTACATTCTCAAAATTGCTCTTCCTATTTTAAACATCTCATTGTCTCTGGCATTCTGAGTGGATTCTTCACTCATTTTCCAACTGTCACTAATTCTCTCTTCAATTATATCTAACTTAGTTTAATCCACCCATTATATATTTTTTAATTTTAATGCCTATATTTCTAATTGGTCATTTTTGACATAAATTATTTCTTTCTTTTTCATAATTTATAAATAGAAATTAACTCATCTCTCAACATGCAAAATACATTTATTCTCATCTGTCAACCTTTCTATGAAATTAATTTCCTATGAAGCAAATTTATGCTCTGATTGTTGTTTTATGGCTTCTTTTTTTATTGGTAGATTTCTTCATATGTTTGGAAAGAGTGGTTTGCAAGTTATTTTGAATGAGAAGTGGTTTATTCCCTCTCACTTTTGGCTTACTCCCTTCTTCTTTGGAAAATTTGAGTGCTCATCCACCTGGATCCTGCCCAGCAAATATTCATGTACTCTCCTACGTTTTCCAGTCCTTCTTGTATTTACTTTGAGGTTATGAGACTAGTTCTGGCAAATGGGCTGTGAGTAGAAGGAACATGTATCACTCCTAGTCTAAAAAACAGTTAAAGGCCTACGTGGGATAGCCACGTTTTCTATCTTATCCATGGATGTAAAGAACATGGAATTGGCAGAGATTCTATCTAGATGGAATCATCCCAGGTTCCCAAGTCATGGTTGGAGGACGGCTGCCAAAGAGAATCACCTGACCTGCACTGGACTATCATGTAATGTAAAATAAAACTTTGTTGTCTACATCTGTTGATATTTTGAGTTCCTTTGTTACTGAAACATAACTCAGCCCTAACTGATATACCATATGCCACCCTACCCCCTGACCCAGCCTTTTATCCAGAACCAGGTTATAAAATGGTGGTTCAAAGTTCCTACCTTATTATGATATTTGAGGTATTGAAGATTAATTCACAAAACCAGCAGTCAGGTTTCAGTTCTTATTATAAGACTGGTCTCTATGTTCATGGTTTCCTAGACCTGAGACCTTCTTTAGTCCCAGGCAGCAATCAGCAGAAGTTCCCCTAACTTCTGGCTGCCAGTTGTGAAGCTGACTCTGGTTGTTCGTCTAGAGTGCCTTATGCTTCTGAAGCTGAACTGCCTGCTGCCGGTCTGCTTCTGGACCTCATGCCCAACAAGCCAAGAGCTTCAGCCCCACTTACCACTATGAGTTCTGATCCACAGAGATGCTTAGATGCTTATCTTTTTTTTTTATATATATGGCTATGTATTTTTTTTTCTTTTTATATGTGTTTGGAGTAGAGGGGTCAGTCATGGAATTTACTTTACTAGCTTAACTAAGAAGACTTTCAGAGTGCAATTCTCCAATCTGGAGTTTAAAGATTGGCATTCATGAAAAGCCATAGTTGTTGATGTAGGTTTTCCCAGAGCCCTGTGGGGGTGGGAGAATGTGCACTTGTTTTCAGCCATGGCTTCTGAAGTTATAATGGGCTTTATGAAGTTCTTGGCTTTTGCTATACATTCACTATCAATTGTCCATTTCACACTCTGACAACTTTTATGATGCTTTTTAGAGATGTTTTGGAAGCTGTGTTGAAGCAATAAGTTAGGCTAGTGATTCTCAAATTTGAAGGATATATGGCTTTCTTTTGAAGGTTAAACAAAATTCAAGGACCTCCTTAATGTTGATTGATATTATTATTTATTAATTCATTTAAATATATACAAACATAAAACTAGGTATATACTTCTTATGATTAGAGCTCTGATACAAATATAATCAAAAACAAATCTATAAGTTAAATACAAATGAAACCATAAAACCAATAAGAGTCAGAGTAACACATTTATTTTAATGTGACAGATGATGCTGCTTTGCTGAAACCAAATTGATGCTTGTGATACAAACATAGTAATGATCATCGAGATTCATTGTGTCAGACAGATCATGGCAGAAAATAAAAGGCATTTATTTCAGGTGTGTTGGAAGAGAGTTTAATAAAGGAAATATATACAAAGGTGTAGACAGGCTTAGAAGAAACTAAAGAGGGTTGAGGACAGCAATAATGAAAAGCCATTATCACATGAGACTGTGGAGGCAAATGAAGGAGTAGTAATCAGAGCCCGGAGATTGTGGCTGTAGTTACAGGAGAAGAATGACTTACAGAAGCTGCATTCTTTGTTAGAGGGATACAATCAAGTTGTAGGAACCCAGCAGGGAGGAAATTATCAAAATAAACACCCTGACTTTACTCTTCTCATTCTTCAACCTCCTGCTACCAACTCCCATTTGCTGAAACCAATCAGAAGCCAGAGGGCAAGGAAGCCCCTTGATGAAGGTTATGGGCACAGAACAGAGTGGAGAAGGGTAGAGAGAGTAGTCTGGAGAAGTAAAGGAAAATATTCATTCAAATTCCTTGGAGTTCAACATGTACTAGTAGGTACTTTATGACAACATTGTTCTCTCATAACATTTTTTTTTAATTCAAATGAGTAAAAAGAAATTGGCTTTCCCTTGCCATGAATACAAATTTACATTTGAAGTCCTCTTTATTTTTTCCTTATTAGTCCATGATGATTTAAATTGTAATTAGTGAGAACACAATGATAAACAGAAGGAAGGCATAAGCTCTGAAATGTGTGGCAGTATTCAATTATAATGTGGTCATTTAACTGATCTTAAATTGCATTTAAAAATTATCATCAAGGGGCCAGCCCCATGGCGTAGTGGTTAAGTTCACATGCTCTTCTTCAGTGGCCCGAGCATCATGGTTCAGAACTTGGGCACAGACCTACACACTGCTCATCAAGCTATGCTGTAGCGGCATCTCACGTACAAAATAGAGGAATACTGGAACAGATGTTAGCTCAGTGACAGTCTTCCTCACGCAAAAAAAAGAAGATTGGCAATAGATGTTAAGTCAGGGCCAATCTTCCTGATCCCCACCCCCCAAAATTATCATCAAAATGAATACACTGTATCTTTTAAATGACAAAACAACAAACAAACAAGTGAATAGCAACAACAATGACAAAGTCCTCAAAGAGAGCTTCAAATTGTGCCCATAGATCCACCTGAGTTCATGGACCTCACTTGAGAATCACTGAGCAAAGCCGTTTCATTCTTCAATCTGGATATTTTCTCCCTGCTCCAAAACCACCTGCACATAGCTGCTGGAAAAATCTACCTGAAGCTCTTCTGTGATTCTGTTACTCTTCATAAAAATCCTTTCATGTCTCCTCATTTCCGACAGAAGTTTGTATAAGTTCCTTAGCCTGGAATTCAAAGCCCTCAACTTGCTTTGCAAGCTGTATCATCACCACTGTTCCCTTACATCTATCATATGCTCTCACCAAACTAGGATGTGTATTAGGGCCTGAACATAGTGTATGTTTTTCTATTTTCTTATCTCTGTACCTGTTTTTTCTCTGCTTAGAATTCCAGCTGCCTAATTTCTGCTGTTTTAAATCTTAAACACCTCTCATTTCAAATTCCACCTCCTCCATGAAGATTGAGAAAACACCAAGGATCAAATTGTCAAATCAGACTCACACGAATCAGAGATCTTACCCAGTATCAAGCTTTGCAACTGATTTCAAGAATGTAAGCACTCAAAAATACAGATAGGGCCGAGAGAAGGCTGGGACATCCCACAAGACTTCCCACACCCTTTTTTTTGTAAACATGTGCTCTCAAGCCCAGAATAATAGATGAGGTCTCTAAAGAGGACTGCAGGTCACCTCACATAGAGAGGAGAAATTAAGTTAGGAAACATCTTCATGTCAGGCTCCAGAGTGTTGTATAGCCTATGTCACATTCTACACAGAGCCATGCATCATAAATCCATAGATTGTAGGCTCGTTTGCCCTAAGCAATCCTAAACCAGAGACATCCTCATCATTAGTCTATTTTCCCAGAATTCCAGTTATCATATTTGCAAAGATATTAGACTGAAGCATTGCCTTCTTTCTTTTTCTGGAAGCATCTCTATGGTAATCAGGAAAGGAATAGATCATTGGCCAATTGCTTTAATTCTTTCCTCCACAAAAGCTTTCCTGATTACCCCAATCTTATATAATCTTTCCCTTCTATCTCTTTGTGACTCTATCATAGCACTATTTTTCTGCTTTGCATTATACTTATTTAAATTATGTTCTCCCCTCCTGCGACTCAGCAGAAGGGACATGATTTATTCACTTTAGTCACTTACAGTACTTTGCAAAGTGCCTTGCAAATAACAGTTGTTTAATAAATGTTGAAAGGAATTAGGAGAAAGAGAGAATTTTTATTCTCATTATTTCCCACAGATACCATTGTTGAACTCTGGGCAGTGGAGAGGAATAAGACCAAGTTCAACTGAGTCTAAATATCTACTTGTGTAGATACCTTAATAACAACCCCACAGAATTCTGCAAAATTCTGCATTCGGTAAAGTTGTTTTCATGGTCTTTCCATCTCCTTTCTGAGCACTATCTCCCTCTCTCCTCAGGTGCCTGTATCTGGATCTCGTTTGTGGGGATGGACTTTCCTCAGGTGAGATGCTGGCTAGAAGAGTGCTTCTCTGTTACTAGGGAAAGTCCTAGGGGATATTATCTAGAAATTCATCCTTGGAGTATCAGAGTCAATGGTAGGAAAGAAGAGCAATGATGGAGTCATGCTTGGAGGTGGGGAAATTGGAAAGTACTCCATCAATGCATCAACTGGAAGAATAAAGCAGAGACTATTAACCAATGAAATACAATGAGGACAAGAGAGCATAGGGAAATGTGCTAGCTGTTGTGAATAGCTCAATACTCAGGTCTGAAAACCTGGAGCATCCTTGGGGGTGTTGCTTTTACGTGGTTCTTAGAAAGCATTGCTGGGTTAACAGCAGAGGGTTAAAAGAATAGAGCTGGCCTGACCGACAAGGTTCTCATGCACTTCTCCACTGATATAAAATTTCATTCTCAATACATGAAAATGATTGATAATTGTTTAAAATGTCTTCCTTCTGAGGAATGTATATATATAGATATGCCTAGAACCCAAAGTCTTAGGCTGAAATGATGAAGGGTGTATTTATGTTATTGCATTGAGGAGAACTGGGACCATACAAACTTTCCTAAACTGCTTAAGTTACCTGGTTGTATGTTATGATGTGACATTCCTCTTATATGGCTCCCTAACATTGAGACCGCATAGGCACTTCTAAGCCTAACCTCTCTTATTGATAATAAAATAACAAGTTTCATGCTATTTCTTTTCCCTGCAGAGAGAGTAAAAAAGCCCACAGCTATCCTTACTTAATTCATGTCTTTTGTTGTTTGCGTTGTTTTTCCTTATCTGTTTTAAGCAGTGTACTTGCTGGAGGTTGTGTTATTTTTCTATTACTGCATAATTACCACAAACTTAATGGTTTAAAGCAACACACATTTATTATCTCCCACAGTTTCTGTGAGCCAAGAGTCTGAACATGGCTTATCTGGGTCCTCTGTTTAGGTTCTCATGAGGCAACAATCAAGGTTTTGGATAGGGTTGGGTTCTCACCAGAGGCTCCACTGTGGAAGGATCTATTTCCACACTCCCTAGGTTGTTGATGGATTCACAGCACTTTGTTTCTTCAAAGTCAGCAACAGAGAGAGAGACTCCAGCAAGTGGCTGCTATTCTTGTGTGTATTCACATACATATAATCATGCATATCCCATCATTTTTGCCATATTTCATTGGTTAGAAGCAAGTCACAGGGCATGTCCACACTCCAGGGGAGGAGATTACACAAAGATGTGAAAACCAGGAGGCAACGATCATGGGGGGCCACCTTAGGGTCTGTTTGCCACATAAATATAGTGCTGTTTATATATATTTAAAGTGCAAATCAGTCTATAGTCATGTAGATTCTTCATGGCTGTGTAGTAACAATGACTCTAATGATGATGAAGATCATGGAGATGCATGATGAGGTATCAGAGATTTGTACAAGGGTGCTAGGGAAGAAAGAGTGGCTTAAGGTTAGAGACCTTCTCCAGCAACATTCAACATGATACGTGTCTTGTATGCTGATGAAATGTTTTCTAACTAGGAGCTAAATTTCTATCCTGTGCATCTTATAAGCTTGCACTTCTTAAATTTTAAATTCTTCGCACAATGTTTTAGAGACCTAAGATGTCTGTGTCCTCTACTGTGATTTAGATATGTGAAGTAGATGGTTAAAATATCTTGGCCTATTTATATTCTGCAGTCATGGAAAGGAAAACAACCATTCTGGTAACTTGTGGCTCTTTTGGGTTTTGTAACTAACAAAGCTACAATAGGGAGGCTGACTCTGCTTACCAATTTTTAAGAATTTTATACCCAGCAAAGTACCTATGTGGGAAGACAGACCCTTGTTTCTTTGCTGCGTCAAGAACTTTTCATGATTAATTGTCTTGTTTATCCTAAATCTACTCAAGAAAAAAAAAAAGAAATATGAAGAGGAAGGGCACAGAAATAACTTCCAGTGTAGACATTCATTTCGAGGATCTGCATTTCAGACCTGCTTCAAAGAATGTCCTGTCACTGCTCCTTGCCAAGAGGAAATGTGCCCTGTAGAAAAAAAGAGAGCAGTACCTGATTTTCCATCTACAGGGGCCCCAAGTTTTTCTTTCACTGTTACCTTTAACCTACCTATGACAGCTAAACAGGGCTGTCAACTGCACTCCGAACATGACCTACACTTCCCTGCCCTTTCTTGCCCCACTGAAAGTGTTCTTTCTGTTTCTACTGCTATTTTTCCTCTAGTCAGTCCCTAAGGCCCAGCTTGAACACTGTCACCTTCTTTAGTGTTCTGATCATTCTATCCTCCTTTATATTCTCAGTGCTTGGCAACTTTCCTGTGGCTCATCACATTGTATTCCATAGAGATTTTTTTTGAGGTATAATTCACATAACATAAAATTGACTATTTTAACCATTTTAAAGTATACAACTCAGTGGCTTTCAGTGCATTCACAATGTGCAACCATCACAACTATCAAATTCCAGAACATTTTCATCAACACGTCCCCCCCAAAAAAACCCCTGTATCCATTAAGCTGTCATTCCTATCCCCCCAGCTACTGGCAACCACTAACAAGTTTTCTATCTTTATAGATTTGCCTATTCTGTATACTTCATATAAATGGAATCATCCTACAATGTGTGGCCTTTTCTCTGGATTCTTTCAGTTAGCATAGTGTTTTCAAGATTCATCCATATTGTAGCATGTATCAATACTTTTTATGGTTGAATAATATTCCATTGTATGGTATATCACGTTTGGTTTATCCATCAGTTGATGGGCATTTGGATTATTCCCACTTTTTGGCTGTTATGAATAAGTCTGCTATGAACATTCATATAGAAGTTTTTATTTGAATACCTATTTTCAGTTCTCTTGGGTATATACTTAGAAGTGTAATGGCTAGCTCATATGGTAACTGTATGTTTAGCATTTTGAGAAACTGTCAAAATGTTTTCTACAACAGCTGCATCATTTTACACCCCGACCACTAGTGTTTCAGGGCTTCAATTTCTCCACATTCTCACCAACACTTGTTATTTCCTGTGTGTGTGTATGTGCATGTGTGTGTTTTTGTTCTAGCCCTAATGGATGTGAGGTAGCATCTCTTGTGTTTTGATTTGCCTTTCCCAAATGACTAATGATGTTGAGCATCTTTTCATGTGCTTGTTAGCCTTTTGTATATCTTCTTTGGAGATATTCGATAGATTTTTATATTCAGTTCTTATCTTTCCTCTGAGACTACAAGTTTCTTGAGAACTGGAAGGGTGTTATTAATCTTTTAATCTATCAGGGGATCTATTAAATTGATTTAAACACACTAAGTGCTCAACAAATGCTTACCGACCTGAGTTTAGGAGTCATGAAAAAATGTTGTATTGCCTGAGTTGGCCCTGAGGTGAAGTCCTCATATCATGTCATTTCAGTATGAAACTGTTCTTACTCAGGACATCAGTAAGTTTTTGTTAATAAATCTATTGAGTCTTTCAGTGGCATCTGAACTGTTGAGAATATACTCCTCGAAATATTTTCTTGCCCTGCCTTCAGGGATACCACACTTTTCTAGCTTTACTTCTAGCTTCTCCATTACAAGCAGTATCCTTTGTGGGCTCCTGTCTTCTGAGGAACACTTAAAGATGAGCATTCCTTGGGCGTCTGTCTTTGTCTTCTCTTTTCACTGGTACCACTGTTTCCCAAACACTGGTCTCCAAATGGTGTCATTTCATGACAGAGTTATTTTGTGATGAAGGACAACGTTAGTAAGTCTTTCATATACCGTAATTGGTTAATTGGAAGGATTATCCTTCTTTTTAAGATTATGTCATCCGTAGTTTTAGAAGTTGAAATGTCTTCTACTTCTATGAAATAAGTTATAGGACATGGCTACTTATGTATACTTTTAATGTCCTTAAAAAGGTAAAAATTTAACAATCATTTATTGGCTCCCCCCTCCCAATCATTTAAAAATATTCTTTACATTGATATACTGTTCTACAGTTATTACAGGGTAATTTCATTTATGGGTATAACTTCAGTTATCACTTATATGATGATGAGCTCCAAGTGAAAAATGTCTCTATTTAGCTCAAATGTGTATATCAGACTTCTTACTGAATAAATCTCCCTTGATGTTTGCAAGATCTTTTGATTTAGCACATCTAGTCTTGAACTTATCGCCCATCCACTCACCTACTTCCCGCTTCTCCATGTTTCCTACCTCACTGAATGACATCATCTCGTCATCTGAGTCAGAAACCAGAAAATCCCTCTAAGCACCCCCTTCTTCAATACCTTTTCCACACCCAATTTTCAGCTTCTTTAACTCTTAGCATTATAGCATTCTATAGACCATCCATTTTACTTGATTCTTTATCTTTTGCTGTGACCTTATTTAAGACTACCATCAACCATCTTTCATCCATTCAGCATACATTTCCAGAGGCTATACTATGTACCAAGCACTGGGAGTACAACATGAAAACAATATGAGAGCTATTTTGAGGGAACAATCTTTGGCAGTAGAGCATAGTGTAGGTTATGGTTGATTTTCAAGTCATTAATATTTTGAGATTTTTTCCCATGCTTGGTGGGTACTGTATATGTTTTAGAGATTCGCATCAGAAATACTTTGGTTTGGGCAGATTTAGAGTGAATTACTTATGTTGTGCAAAGAAATTATTCCCTGAAACTATACTATAGCCTAAGGAAATTCCTTTAATCTCTATTCCAGTTTCCCACTTGGAAAATGGGATGGTTGTATAGGAGTCTAAGGGAACTTGGTTGTTTACTGTGATTCAAGAGCTCTATGGATAAAAATGTGAAGTACGGATTCCTTATTTATTCATTAAAGAAAGCTTTAGCTATGAGTTCCATGTCCTGGGTATAATGGGTTATAATCACTAATGCATATTTCAGTACATTTAAATGTTGCTAATTATTATCTTACCAATTAAAGGAAAATCAAAGCATGAGACTAGGAGGGATTGGTTAAAGGGATATGTCCCAGGTAGCATATCAGGATATGAAGAAATTGGGAACAGAATCTCTGTCTCTTAATGTGTTGTTCAAAGCAAGGGCTATTTGAATGCACTGGCTTATCCTAGGTAGAGCTTGCAAAAAATGGAGGTCCCAGACTAGGGGAAGGGCCAATGTCCTGAAGCAAAGGAAAAGCATTAGGCTGGGTTCCAGGAGGCAAACAGACAAAAAGAGAACTGCCTATCTGGAATGGAGGATTATGCCATCTGCTTTGGTAGTCTTACCTTGGGCAGTGTCCCATACTTGATGTTTCAAGAGAAAAATATCCTACCACATTTTATATTTTTCACTTGGTAAGTCATTAAAATCTGGGAACTATCATTCCTACTACCTTTATTTTGGGTCCCCCTCCCACCCCCCCCCCTTTGAGACTAGGTTCTTTCAGATTTCTCAACTGGGATAGAGCTTGAAATTAATGATAATATTTCTTCTGCTAAAAGCCTGGGTGCATGAGTATTGCAGGTTTGCAGGTAACATAGCTGCTTTGCCAAATAGACTATTCTAGAGAGTGCCTAGAGGGTCTAGAAAGGTTTGCAGACAGAGAGCAAACACTTCCTGTGTCATAATGGTCCTGAGATGTACCACTAGGACTTACATTTTTAGTAGTGTCTTGATTTTTTGTTAGCTATTTCAGCTATCTTCTGGGTAAAGAAGGGAACAGGAGAAATCAACAAGTAGAATTAAAGAAATACACAGAACAACTTCCTTTATAATCCTTGACTCTCAGAGTGGGCACAAGGGAGGTTGCCATGATAACTAAGATGTTACAGATTCAGAAAGTTACCCTTAGTTAGCATTTGTTTAGGGTCCCCAGGGGAATGTTTTAACTTCTGAGTTGATGGTCTGGGACAGCACATTTTTGAACAAAATTTTCCAACCAGGAGCAGAAGAACAGACTTCATTGTAATAACTGTTAAAACATTTCCACATATCCTCTTCCATGACTTTTGGGTCATTTTAGAGATCATAGAATTTTTGTACTGAAAAGCATTAAAAGATAATAAAATCAAACTTCTTTAGTTTGAGTTCAGTCTTTGGTCTCAGAAGTTTCAGTTCCGTGACTTGTTCACAGTTGCTAAGTTGTTAATGACACAACTTGCTACTGGAACCAGGTTCCCACTCCTTATCCAGTGTTCTTTCCTTTTACCTGATATCTAATGTTCTCCTTCCTTTGTTGATAATTTTCTTCAAGACTTCTTTTGAAGAAAGTGAACAAAACCAGTTTAGAATGGCTGCTTGCCAAGTATTCCTCATGTGCACTCAACTCCATTTTTATTCTTTCACAACAGTAGGTTCCTCTGATGAAGAGAATCATAGAATATTAGAACTAGAAAAAGCATTTTTAGGAATCTAATATCCTTATTTTACAAATACTATAAAAACCAAGGCCTTGGGAGTCAATTTGCCTGAGGCTGCACAGATAGTAATAACACTGGGACATGAACTCAGGATTCCTGTGAGTTTGGTGACTTCCAGAGAGCTTCATCACCCTGGAAGAACCATCTCTTTTTGTGAATTGTGTATATACTGGTTGAACACATTCTATAGCTATTAATCAAAATAAAAAACTAGGAAAACTTAGGACTCTGGATTCCACGAGTCACAATTATTCAAGTATACCCTGTGTCTTAAAGAGTTAGTGAGGAAGAAAAGTAGCAAAAATTTAAAGAAATAAAGTTGTAAATAAAATCAGTATTTAAAAGGGAGCTTAAAATGAAATTCTAGAAATAAGGAATGATTTATGCTGTTAACAATTATCAGTTAATTAATTAGCAGCTTTCCTGATGTTAAAGACGGATGTCCAATATCTTTTCTTCTAGAAAATACAAAGATACCAGCTTGTTCTACTGCTTCAAGCCATTCCCTGTGGACTGCTCTTGGCCTCTGCCATCACAGACTATGACTAGAAAAAGAAACTTGACAGACAGAAAGAAAAACCCTTAACAGCTAGAGTTTTAATTTGCCTACATGGGAAAAAATATTTCAGTTTCTGAGATTTCTCCTGGGTTGCCTGATTTGGAGGTGGAAAGAGACACCAGAGGAAAAATCACGAAAAAAAGAAACACTATGAAAAGAGCAAATCTTGAGAATTGTGTTTAATAACAGCAATGATGAATTTCCTGGCAGTCTGTACTGAGCAGTTAAAGACCAACCAGCATGTGAAGGAGGCTGAATTAGTTAGAATGGTCTAAAGCAGCCTAATAAAGAGTGCCAGAAGATTTATTCTCTCATATGTATAATTTTGAGATATGAATGATTCTGTATTTAAGAAATGTGTTATAACCATCACGTTAATTTTTACTAAGATCTTCTAGTTTGACTCAAAGCAGGGTCTGAAAAATGGAAGAACAATGCTTTTAGCCACCAAGTTAGTGCCCCACAGAATATTTTAAAATTATTTAACACACATCATCTGAGTGTCAACAACTCATCACAGATAAACTATCTAATTAACAGAACCCTTCATAGTATTTGATAACTGAGTCTTGGCTCAGTTTTTATACCAGAAGGGCAATCCTTGATAAGCAGAAATTATAAAAGCAGATTTTTAAAAGCATTAATTCAGGAATAAAGTCAAATTCGTCTCAAATTAACCCCCTATTGGTATTTAAGCTTATTTTAAGCCACTTGGCTTAAAGATAGCACTTGGAGAGGCTGCCTTTGACCAGAGTCAGGCTTTGTCTGGACTGTCAGCCTCTATATTTTGATTCCCTTTGTTGTGTACCAGCCTCCCCAAGCCCAGGGTAATTGATATGGGTTCTGTGCTAGGGACAGATGAGTTTATCCTGTCATTGAAGCCCTTTACAAGATGTCTTAATTATTAGAGCTCATTCGAGGATTTGTGCTCTGTGTTCTACTTAGGAAGCTCAATTGTTTTCTCTTTCCAATTCCGTGTTGGCACCACTTCCAATGATAAGTCCAATAAAGAATTAGTAATTTGGCTCCCTGTGGTCATGGAAAAAGGACAGCAAGAATGAGCAACAATAATAGTTCCTGTTGGAATAGTATGTTTTTAATACAAGAAAGTTATTACTGGTACAGTTTAGGGACAAAGACTCATGCAAAAGTAGAGAAGGAATTTGAATTTCTGTGAGGATTGTAAATTTTGATCCTTTGACCTCTACTAATAATTAATATTCATTTTGCAACTAAGTGGGAAATTCTAGTTTCCAATGGGCAGAATTGGGGATGAAGGAAAAGTAAGACATTTCCATTAAAAATAGTGTCCCTATGTTTATAATACCAAGTGACAAGTAAGAAGAGACACAATTAAATTATGGTTGTTGCAATTAGATAAATCAGGTTACCAAACTCAACAGACAGATTTGGTGGAAGTGAAGTCTTTTTGGCTAGGACTCTGCTGATATATTTCTTGGGGCCTACATGTTTAATTAAGTCTTGCTGAATCTCATCCTGCGTAGTAGCTAGAACAGTGGGGGCATCCATACATTAACAGGAGAATGTACTTCTCAAGATCCCAAACAATATGCACTGCCTGTTTCCATTTTGGTGTTATGAATGGGTCAGGGGCATAGACGGTTGATACCCAAGTATTAGTAGTAATTGTCTCTGGGTGGTGGAACTACAAATAATTTTTATTTTCCTTTTTTGTGTTTAGCTCTGTTTTCTAAAATGAGCATACGTTACTTCTGTGATAATAAAATAATTATTTTCAAAGTGCCTGCTTTGTGATATTCCTTCAGATGCATACATCCTGATTTCCCACATTCTGGTGGGGGAAGTCAGGATATACAGTGTAAACAAACTCTTAGCTATTTCGTTCTTGTTATTACATTGGTTTCTGGGGTTGATTATTATCTCGATTTTACCCTATGTCTGAAAACCATTATTCAGTCAGAGCAGACAGACATGGCACATAATCTTGGGACCTAGGGAGATCTTGTTTCTGAAACACATAAATTCAAACAGTTTAAAAACTTTTCCTCATTTCTCTTCTTACTCACTACTACTCTTTGCTTATAAGTAGACTGACACAGAGGAAACGGTAGCATTGTAGTTTTTCAATATTACGTTAACATCATACAACTTAGCAAGGGGACAGAAAGATATAGGTTGTGTTTGTGTAGGGATTTTCTTGACACCCAACTTGTGGATGGGTACTTCTTGGCAAATGGACTTTGATATCGCTATTGTCAGCTTCACAGAATGGCCCCCTTGAGTCTAATCCCCTTGAGAGAAACTTAATTTTCCTAGATTATCTCCTCGTGGTTAGGATCATTTTATCTACTGAGTGATAACTTAATGGACATTTGAGGAGATTCCATGGCCTCGTTTGGAAGCTGACTATCAAGAACTAGTTTTTATTTTTAGCCTAAACTTCTCATATTTCATTTTTCCATTCTTTTAATTTCCTGCATTTGTGTCCAGATCACTGAACAGAGATCATTCATGCACTTGCAGGCCAATGTTAATTGATCCCTTAACCATCTCTTCTCTAGGTCTAATTTCCTTTAGAAAATATGGCTTCTATTTCTTCATATGGCTCTTCTTTGGTCCTATATGGAGGCCACCAATATGGTATAATGAATAATCAGGTTTTTATTTTTAAGAAGTTAAGGCAATAATTCTCATTAGTCATGGTTCAAAATGATGTGTGGAACCCCGTCTCTGGAAATACTGAGTTTATAGTTCTGGAGTAAGACATAGCTTGCCCTTACATTTTTTTAACAGTGTCTTCTGAACAAGAAATTTTTAATTTTGATAAATTATAATTTATAATTTTTTTTGTAGTCTGTAATTTTTAAGTCTTATTTAGGAAATCTTGCCTGACCTAAGGTGCCTAAAATTTTCTTGTGAAAACTTCATAGTTTTAACTTTTAAATTTGGGTCTATGATCCATTTCAAGTTAATGCTTTTACGGAGGTAAGGGTCCAGAGTTGTGGTCTTATGTCTTTTAGATATTTTGCATGTGAATATTCAATTTCCAATTGTCCTAGCACACTGAGAATCAATTTCCTACATTGAATTGCCTTAGCACCTTTGTCAAATATCAACAGATCATACTATATGTGTTGGTCCATTTCTGGACTTCTATTCTGTTCCATTGATCTATATATTAATTTTTATACCAATATCTTGATTATGGTAGCTTTATTATAATTCTTAAAATCAGGTAAGTGTAAGTCCTCTAACTTTTTTGTTTTCAAAATTGTTTTGAACATTCTAGGTCCTTAGCATTTTGAATATATTTTACAATCGATTCATCAATTTCTGAAAAAAAATCTGTTGCGTTTGAGTGGGATTGCATTGAACCTATAGATTAATTTGGGGAGAACTGACGTTTTAACAACATTGATTCTTTCAATCCAAGAATGTAGTATATAAGTATTTACTTACGGCATCTTTAGTATCTTTCAATAATGTTTTGTAGTCTTCAGTGTGAAGGTCTCACACATTTTAAATTTATCACTTTTGTATTTTGTATTTTAAATTATATTTTAAATTGAATTATTTTCTTTATTTTTCTACCCCTTCAATTATTCATTTTCACACATTTATTGAAGTATAATTGAAGTACAACAAACTGCACATATGTAATGTGTATAATTTGATCAGTTTCAACTTATACACTCATGAAACCATCATCACAATCAAGACAAAGAACATTTCCATTACCCTTCAAAATTTCCTCATCCCCTTTGCGGTAGGTAGATTCCTTCCTCCAACCCTAGCTCCAGACAACCTCTAAGCTGCCTTCTGTCCTTATAGATTAGTTTGTATGCTGTAGAATTTTATGTAAATTGCATCATCCAATATTACTCTCTTTTGGCTTCTTTTACAAAATATAATGCTTTCAAGATTCATCCATGTTATTACATGTATGAATAATTTATTTCATCTAATTGTATGAATACACCAGGATTTGTTTCTTTCTTCACCCCTTGATGGACACTGGGTTGTTTCCAGTTTACGGCGATTACAAATAAAGCTGTGATGAACATTTGTGTACCAGTCTCTGTGTGGACATATGCTTTTGTTTCTCTTGGGTAAATACCTAGAAGTGGAATGGCTTGGTTGTATGGCATGTGAATGTTCAATTTTTTAAGAAACTGCCTAACTGTATTATTGTGATTTCAGATTCTGATTGGTCAATGCTAGTATATGGAAATGCAGTTGATTTTTGCAATTTGCTAGTACATAGAAATACAACTGATTTTGCTTTGTATCTTTTGGCTTTGCTACACTCACTTATTAGTTCTGTATCTTTTTTGCAGATTCCTTAGGGTTTTCAATAAAGGTGATCATGCTGTCTGCAAATATAGGCTGCTTTACCTTTCAAAAATTTTTTTTGACTTTTATTTCTTTTTTTGCCTGGTTACACTGGCTAGGATATCCACTATAATATTGAATAAAAGTGGTAAGAGTGAACATTCTTATGGTTCCTTTTTCTGTTTGTTTTTTTTTTTGTGTATCAAGGTAATGAGGGTTTCATTGTTTGAATTGCAGTTAGAATTGGTTTCATTTCCTTTTTAAATGTAGAATTCATCAGTGAAGCCATCTGGGCCTGAAGTTTTCTTTGCAGGATGTTTTAAAGTTATAAATTCAATTTATGTAATAAATATAGGAACATTCAGCTTATCTATTTCTACTTTAGTGAGTTTTGGTAGTTCATGTGAGTTAAGGAAATTGCCCATTTTATCTTAGTTATATAATTTTATCAAATTATTTGGCGTATAGTTGTTCATAAAACTACCTTATTTGTCTTTTAATGGCTATAGAATCAGTTGTGATGTCCTGTTTCTCATTCATGATATTGGTAATTTGTGTCTTCTCTTTTTTTCCTTGTAAGTTTGACTAGAGATTGCTCAATTTTCTTGTTATTTTCAGAGAAGCAGTTTTTTATTTCCTTGATTTCCCCCAGTATTTTTCTGTTGTATATTTTATCATCTTCTGCTCTGATCTTTATTATAAACTTTCTTCTGCTTACTTCAGTTTAATTTTCTCTTCTTTTCTTAATTTCTTAAGATGGAAGCTTAGATCATTGTTTGGATATATTCCCTTCTTTTCTTAACATAAGAATTTAATGTTATAAACTTTCCTCTGAGTACTGCTTTATCTGCATTTCACAAAACTTGTCATATTGTATTTCCATTTTCATACAGTTAAAATGTTTTCTAATTAACTTTGTGATTTCTTCTGTGACCTATGAGTTACTTAGCTGTGTACCATTTAATTTAAAATATTTGAGGATTTTCCAGATATCATTTTTAGAAGTTGATTTCTAATTTAAATCAATGTGATTAGAGAACATACTGTGCATATTTTCAATCTTTTAAATTTTAGGTCTTGTCTTAAGGCACAAAACGGTTTATCTTCCTAAAGGATTCATGTGCACTTGAAAAGCATATGCATTTTTCTGTTGTTTGAGACTATTCTATAAATATATACTTGGTCAAGTTGGTTGATGGTGTTCTTTAAGCCTTATATAATCGTACCAATATTCTCTCAAATTTGTTTATCAGTTGTTGAGAGTGAAATATTGAAATCTCTAACTATAATTAGGGATTTATCTAATTCTGCCTTTAGTTTTATCAGGTTTTGCTTCATGTACTTTGAATCTCTGATATTAAGTACAAACGCATTTAGGATAACTAATGTCTCTTGAAAAATTGACCTCATCATCATTGTGAATTTACTCTCTCTATCCCTGGTAATATTCACTGTTGTAAAGTCTACTTTGTCTGATATTAATATAGCCACTTCTGCTTTCTTTTGACTAGTATTTTCATGGCATAGCTTTCTGGCACTCTTTTACTTTTAACATCTTGTATCTTTTTATGGCAAGTGGATTTCTCTGGTATAATATAGAGTTTGGCATTGTTTATTTTTCATGTAACTTAACAATGTATGCCTTTTACTTGAAATATTTGGAAATTTATTTCTAAGTACTGCATATTTTTGAGGCTATTTTAAATTGCATTATTTTCTTTCTTTTTCTACTTTATCTGGTTATCTATTTTACAAATTTATTGAGGTATAATTGAAGCACAATAAACTGTACAAATTTAAAGTGTACAATTTGATCATTTTTTGACTTATATATGTACCCATGTAACCATCACCACAGTCAAATAATAAAGATTTTCATCATTGAACCATTGTATTATATAAGTATAAACCACTGTATGAGTATTGGTCCGGTCAGGTGTAAATCTACCATCTTGTGATGTAGGCTTTATTTGTCCTATCTATTCTTGGTTTCTTTTTTTGCCTCTGTAACTTTTTCTTGTAAGATTATTTTTTTATATCTAATTATATTTTGTCTCCATTATTAGCACATTAGCTATACTTCTTTATTTAGTTTTCAGTATGGTTGGCATAGAGTTTACATTATGTACTTTTAATTTATCACAATCTATCTTCAAATAATATAATACCATTTTGCGTTAGATATAAGAAACTTATAACATGTGTTTCTATTTTGCTCCTCCCAGGCTTCGTGCTATTTTTGCAGTAAATTGTACTTCCATATCTATAAGCCCTGTACTATATAGTTATTACTTTTGGTTTAAGGAGATAAGAAATGCAATTTGTATTTCATCACATGCTTACCTTTCCTGTGATCTTCATTTCTTTGAATAAATCTATGTTTCCATCTAGGTGTATTTTCCTTCTGTGTAAAGAACTTCCTTTAGTCTTTTCTGTAGTTCTAGTTTGCTAAGGTTGAATTCTCTTAGCTTTTGTAAGCCTGAGTAAGTCTTCATTTCATCCTCATTTTAAAAAGATATTTTTGCCGGCTATAGAATTCTACATTAACAGTTCTTTTTATACTTTAAAGATGTTATTTCATTGTCTTCTGGCTTTCATAGTTACTTATGAGAAGTCTGCTTCACTCTTTTTTCCCTTTGTACGTAACGTGTCTTTTTTTCCTCTGGCTGCTTTTACTATCTCTCTTGCCCAATTTACATTAATTTTATTGGGATGTGATTTTGTGTAATTTTGTTTTTGTTTCTTCTGCTTGAGTTTTGGTGAACTTGGATTTTTGGACTTAAAGTTTTCATCAAATTTGGAATCTTTTTAGCCATTATTATTTCAAATATTTTTCCTGCCCCCCACCCTTCTGGGACTTCAATTATCCTTATGTTAAGCTTCTTGTTATTTTCCTACAATCCACTGATGCTATTTTTATTTTTATTTCACTCTCCTTTCTCTATGTGTTTCTTTATGTGTAGGTTATATTCCTGTGTTTATAAGTTTACTGACTTTTTCTTCTGTAAAGCTTATTCTGTTCTTAATCCTATTTGGTGTAATTTTTATTTCATATATTTTATTTTTCATCCCTAGAAGTTTGTTTTTCTTTTTGATTTTCCCTTCTCTTCTCAACATATCCATGCTTTCCTATACTTTCTTTAACATATGGAGTATATTTATTTTAACTGATTTAACATCCTTTATTTTTTGTTAATTCTATTCTCCATGTAATTTTTGAGTATGTTTCTATGTTTGATTTTTTCTTGGTTTTGGGTCATATTTTCTTGCATCTTTGCATATTTGGTAGTTTTTTTATTAGATGCTAGCTCATATGAATTTTAGGTTTTTGTTTTCTGGATTTTCTTGGGGCAGGGTAACACTTTGAGTATTTGGAGCTTGCTTCCATGGTAAAGTTAAGTTACTTGGATCCAGTTTTATTCTTTGGTATTTCCTTTCAAAATTTGTTAGCAAGGGTCCAGACGTCCTTTACTCTAGGCTAATTTGATATCATTACAGAGAAAATACACTTCTGAGGACTCTACTTTATGCCCCATATATTAGGAGGTCTTTCAGCTCTGGATGGTGAGAACAGAAACTATTTGTGGATCAATTTGGCCTTCGAGGACTGATCTACCTCTTCTATTCTGGAGGTTCCTTTCTTGGCGTCACATCATGTGCAGAGCAGTTCCAAGCCACGGACTCAAGGGGAATCTTTCTGCAGCTCTCCTACATTCTTTCTCTTAGTAGCTACCTCCTCTCCTCTATGGTAATTTGCTCTCAAAATTATAGCCGCTTTGGCCTCCCCAACCTCTGAATTTGATCTCTTAAACGCAGCAAGACTACAGTCTCTTTTTGGATTCCCCTCATTGTGCTCTGCAGACACTAATCTGAAGAATGATATCAAATGACTGATTGGATCAGGTCAGAAAGTATTAGGGACTCTCCCAAAAGGAGTGGTTTACTGTGAATCCTGAAGGGGATGCCAAGATGAGAGGCTAGAGTGCC